TCACACTAATCTTTTTTTTTTTGGGATGGAGTTTCGCTCTTGTTACCCAGGCTGGAGTGCAATGGCGCGATCTCGGCTCACCGCAACCTCTGCCTCCTGGGTTCAGGCAATTCTCCTGCCTCAGCCTCCCAAGTAGCTGGGATTACAGGCACGCGTCACCATGCCCAGCTAATAGTTTGTATTTTTAGTAGAGACGGGGTTTCACCATGTTGACCAGGATGGCCTCGATCTCTTGACCTCGCATCACACTAATCTTTACTTCTCTCCCAGGGTCTCCTGTTCCTTTGCCTCTGGGACTGTTTCAGGGCAAGCAGGCCTACTGGGTAATGGAGGCCACAGGGATGTCCTCTGCCAGAAACCATTCCCTCAGCAGGCTATGGGATTAGCTTCAGAGACTCCTCACCCTCTTTTAACTAGACCTCAAACCATCTAGCTCTTCCCTGGAGGGACCCAGCAGTGCAGAGCTCAGGAACCCAAGGCCCTGAGACTAGAGGGAAGGACAGCTGAGGTTCCCCTGCAGTGACCCTCACACTGGGGAGGGCTCCCTTCCCCCACAAGGAGGTGAGTGTGAGATTATTTCAGGAACCAACATGCCCGCATTCCTTTCTGCAACAGGGCTGAGGTTGTGGGGACACTGGAGGCAGAGCTGGCCAGCGCAACCTCCCTCCCTCCCTGTCTGTCTACTCCCCGGCCTCCTGCCAACAGAGCAAATCAGGACAGCTTTGTTGCCTCTTCCCTCCCTGTCCCTCCCCTCCAGCCCCACCTTGGGATCAATACTTAATGCTGAGTCCAAGATCTTATCTGACTTTTACAAGGATAAAGCAACAAACTTCCCCCTCCTAATGATTAAATCCATTGACGATCAGCCCAGTGTTTTCCAGACCACCTCTAACACTTTTAGAGAGCAAATGAAGTGACTCTGAGAAAATTGGAAAGCCACCATTCTCCTCTCCCCTGGGCACAAATCACTGTATGGAAGGGCAGGAAATGAAGTGAGGGGCAGGGCCAAGGAAGGTATCCAGGATTTTTTTTTTTGAAATGGTTCTTGTTGCCCAGGCTAGAGTGCAATGTAATGGCACAATCTCGACTCACTGCAACCTCCGCCTTCCAGGTTCAAGCAATTCTCCTGCCTCAGCCTCCTGTGTAGCTGGGATTACAGTCACCTGCCACCACACCTGGCTAATTTTTGTATTTTTAGTTGAGACGGGGTTTCACCATGTTGGCCAGGCTGATCTCGAACTCCTGACTTCCGGTGATCCACCCGCCTCGGCCTCCCAAAGTGCTGGGATTACAGGTATGAGCCACCACGCCGAGCCAGCATCCAGGTTTTAACAGTAGCTCTGCTATTGTCTGGCTGCAGGAATCTTCTATGCAACATTTCAAACTTATGTGCCTTAATTTCTCCAAGTGGAAATGAAGGAGCATGGTCATCAGCAAAAGAAGGCTGGTGTGGAGGACAGAAAATGAGAAATGCTAAACTCTTAAAATCACCAACTCCTCTGCTTTAAACAGTTGCTTTGCAGAGTGTAAGAGCCTGAGCTCCAGGTCAGACAGGCTGGGTTTATATCCAAGCTCTGCTTTGACCAGTGTGTGACTCTGGGCAGCTCGGTTCACCTATGGCTGTTTGTCATCAAGATTCAATGGTAGGTGCCAGCACTGTGCTAAGCACTTGGTGTGTAAGTGCTCAGAAAGTGTTGGCTGTTTCTATCAAGACTGCTAACATGGCCCGCTGAGACAGCAACAGAACTCCCCATACCATCACTGCGGGTGCTCTATCAGGATGCTCAGGTCCCCTTCAGGATGAAGGACCTCTTTCCCAGCTGCTAGGAGTGCTGCTGGAAGATAGTCCCCAGCTGAAGGTCCCCTCCAGGATTTACCCAGGGGAAGCCCAGGTCACATCAGCCTCACGGGGTGGGCTGCATCCAATGACAGGCCAGCGTGCAGGCACCAAGGATGGCACTCCTACCCCAGCTGGGGACCCCGGAAGGACCACCTCATTGCAGAAGGACGTCACAAGTCGGCTTCTCCCTCTGCCCTCTCCTGATCAAGAACACTTCTGGATAAACCTCCCAGTTGCTCATCCCAACCTGGAGAACCAACCTGCAAAAACTGCTCGCTCCCTCCCCTAGTCACAAAGATCGCAAAGGAATTCATCTCGAACATTCTCACAGTTAAAAAGCGAAAAGCCAGAAACATACTTCAGGTCCTGGGGCTCATCATCAATCCCAGGTCTCTTATTTTTTCAGAGGAAGAGCCTGAGATGCTCAGAGAGGTTAGGGGACGTGCCCCAGGAAAAACATCAAGGGAGCAGCAGAAGCTGGAGGAAGGCCCGCCTGTGAGGAGAAAGGTGAGAGCCCCTACATCTCCAGGGCTCCACCCACTGTAAGTCACAGACTGAACGTGGGACCCTCTTCCTGCTTGAAAGGTTGAAGATGTATATTGCCGGAGGCTCGTCCTTTCCTATGCCCTGGGTTCTTTCTGTGGTGCTAGTAAGGACCCGGTGGGTGCTTCTGTGGACGGGAGATGCAAGCTGCCACCATGCCAATGAAACTGAGGGCATCCCTGCCCCAACAGGGATGAGCAGGGACAGGAGGTGACCACTGGAGACAAGGAGTGGAAATTCTGCCCTGACCTCTGGCTCCTAAAGGCAAGTGGAGCCTGAACGGGCCCTGGGAGCCGGCCTGCCTGACTCTCAGATGGGAAGCCCAGCTCCCTGTGGTTATCCCTGAGCCACAGCTGTCATACATACGGCTCCAAGGACACACAGGTAACTGTCAAAACTCCTGGGGTGAGGATGAGTTGAGGCCCCAGGCCACCCACAGGGCTGGGTCAGGAGTCTGAAGACAAAGGCTGAGCGTATACTGGGACAACACCGCTGGGTCCATGCTCTGGGGCTCTTTAAGAAGGGAGCTGGAGGCAGCGCCAGCCAGGAAGATGTCCTCAACTTCTGCCACTGCAGCACTTTCCTCCTGATAAGGTCACGGACAGCAGGAACGGAGGAGGTAAAGGTAAGGTTGGGGCAAGGTGGCTGCCTGAGGATTTTATTTCCTTGCGCTTATTACCTGATTCCGAATGCACACTCCATCAGGCCACAGATGTGGGGCTGGCTCGCTCCTTATATATGAGCTGTGCCTTTGTTGTGATATGCTCTTCTTTAAAAAGGAAATTTTTTTTTTCACTCCCTCGGGCATCTTGAGGGGTTGGAACATGTGATTGGGCTGGTGCTCCCACCCACAAAGAAACAACACTGGGGAGTGGAGGGGGCCCTGGATGACAGGGAGGGCAGTGGGATGGGGGGGTCATTCCTGCTGAGGCTTCCGGCAAATCTCCCCCCATCCACAGGCTGTCACTCCGGCCAGCTTCTCAATCATCTTTAAATAGCAGGCCCTGCGATTCCTTAAGTTTTGGGCTCCACACATTTTAGACTCGGTCCTGCACCCACTGCAGGCATCTTCAGCTCTGGCAGGTCCAAGGGTGCCAGCAGAGGTCCTCCCTGGGCCGGGGGCAGGTGTGTGCATGCGCCAAGGCCCTGCCCATGCTCCTTCCCGCCAGTGCCCACCGCGACTCCTGGAGAGCCAGCAATGATGCAATGATGTCCCGAAGCCACTCTGAGCAGCGGGCCCTCCAGCAGACCATCCTCACCTCACAACGGGCAAGAAACTCTTCCCATGCCCATCACAGATGAACTGCCATCCCAACTCTGCAGCCCTGCACCTTCCTTTCTCCCTTTTGGACAAAGGAAAGAGGCTTCACCCACAGCAACAGAGATCTGGTTAGAAACGAGAGAACTTTTCCCGGCACGTCCTCTGGGGCTTCACCTAGAAGGCCAAAGTCCTGCGTTTCGATCCCACCTCTGCCATTACCAGCCCTCTCCCTGCTCGGCTCTGAGAGTTAATGAGATGATACCAGTGCAAGCCCCCAGCACAGGGCTCGACACACAGCAGATCAAAAAATACTCTCATTCGTTAACTTTCAAAATAAAAGGACAACAATATCACCTGGGGGCAACTCTGGAATCTCCCTGGATTCCAAATTCTAACACTGAACGCCAGGCAAATTCAAATGGGCATCACCCACCCTGAAAATAAACAGGTGACAGTGCTCTTTTGAACAATCACATTCCCATCTGGACACAGTAGAGAAAGAACAGAACTTGGAACCAATAGTCCTGAGACCCTGCTCAGCCATGGGTCTCTTAGTTAGCTCCTCTGAGCCTTGGTTATTTTGTAAACCAGACAGAGATGATGAAAATGCTAATAATAAGAGTTAACATTCATGCACAATTGACTAGATGCTTGGTATTACACTCTCCAGGCAATCCTGTGAGGAGGTTCTATGATTACTCCCATCTTACAGATGAATAAACTGAGGCTTAAGGAAGTTCAGTGATTTTCCCAACGTCACAACCACCCTCCAGGGGCTGCTTTGAAGGTCAAATTAGGACCAGGGGGACGATGGGTGTGGTGGGAGGAGGTGGGGCGACAGCTGTGGTACTGGGACCAACATGATGTTTGCAGTGATGGTTGGTCCAGGGGTAGCAGCGATGACATGGAAGATGCATGTGAAAGTCAGGCTTTGAAACCGTAAAGCTAGATTGATGCAATGTGGATGATGACGGAGCATAATCCTGAATTGCCCACCATGAGCACCACCTTCCTCTCACTCCCTAGGCTCTGACTCCCCAGCAATGCAGTGGACAAAGCTGATTGTTCCACACCTGCATGCTCCTCCTTTCTCTCCCTGCTTCTCCCCTGCTCCCCACCCTCCGTGGCTGCCATTTCTTCCCTCATAAATACCAGTGGACACCACTGTTGTCCACCCAGTGCTCAGCTCTCCCATTCTGAGGATGCTGTAGAGAGATGCATTAGAAGCCAGATTACCAGACGCACTCAGGACATCCCCCTCCTTCTCCCAGCCCCACCAGCAACGATTCCCACTCCACTCCTTCCCTTTCACTCACTCTGCCTTCTACAAACAGGAAAGACATACAGTCAGTGCTGGGTAACTGCTTCTAATCACAGGTGACAGCAGGAATGTAAACAACACAGGAAACATCTAAATGCAATCCAAGTGGCAAGGAAACACTGCGCACTCACAGGCTCCCTCCCTTCCTCCCTCCCTTCCTCGAGGGCACCAGCACACCATTTCCTGCCACCCCCTTAGGAAGCACTGCTCATTAACACCCTGTTAATAGGAACCCCAGAAACCTGAGCTTCCGGAGAACAGAACACTAAGTCATCACCTGCTTTGACTCTGCTACCTCCAGGGAGGACTTTTCTAGATTCCTCCCATTTTTCTGTTTAAAGCAATAAATTTAATGTGGTTTTTTTTTTTTTTTTTTTTTTGGCGGGGGAAGGGAGAGGCTAAGGGCAGGAACAGAGACCCCACTGAGAATTTGTCCAAAGCTAGGGATCTTCTCCCAAGAAAAGTACAAACATGCAACATGTCATTTCAGAGGTTCCTAGACTCCAGGTTAAGACCCATTTTTTGTAAAGTGAATGGGACAGAAGCAGCACAAGGAAAAATACAAGTAAGTGCAGCTGCCCTCTACACACCCCGGAGGCCCCGCAGGGCATTCCCAAGGGTGTAGTCACTGCACACCCAGCGAACCTACAACAATGTTTTATCTTCATTTTTTGGCTCTTTAGATTGACAGTCTGCTCCTAAAGAATCTCCTTCAATGCAAATTGATAACTCAATTGAGTAACTGCTGTGAAGAATTTCCACTGGGTCCTTAGTGCCGAGATTAGCAAGGGAGCAAGAAAGCCAGGATTAGGGAGGTGTATCTTGAATGTGTGTTGGGGTGGCTGTGTAACTAAACAGGAGTTCCCAAGCCAACAGGAAATGGATTTTCAAGTACCCAGTACTGGAAGTCTGTGAGCTACCGGGACCCTCCGAGAATAAAGATCTTCCATGGACGGTCACCTCTACCTGCTTGACTCTGGACTCATCACTGTAGCTTTTGTCAGTGGGACTGGGATGACAGAGGGAGAGAGGCCAGGAGAGGGTGAAGGCGACCCTCTTACACTGGGAGAATCTTACCTCTGTGCCGGTTGGTGGTTTTATCAAACATCAGCATTGCATCTTCCACCTGCAAAACAAATAAGAAACAAAGGCTGCTTTAGGACTTTTAAGAAAGTACACAAAACATTATATGCATATGGGGTTGAGGGGGTAGTTTCCATTACAGAAGTAATAGTTGCTTGTCAAAAAATATTTGAAAATGCAAAAAAGTAGAAAGAAAAAAAAATCACTGGTCTTTCCACCCCACACAACTACAGTTAACATCTTATATAGTTCCCTTTGGTGTTTGCTTTTTATTTTTTTTGAGATAGGATCTCTGTCATCCAGGCTGGAGTGCAGTGGCACCATCATAGCTCACTGTAGCCTCCATCTCCTGAGCTCAAGTGATCCTCCCACCTCAGCCTCCAGAGTAGCTGGGACTACAGGCGTGCACCGCCATGCCCAGCTAATTTTTTTTTTTTCTTTTTCCTTTTTTTCATAGAGACAGGATCCCACTATGTTGCTCAGGCTGGTTTCGAACTCCTGGGGTCAAGTGATCCTCCCAAAGCGCTGGGATTATCGGTGTAAGCCACTGCTCCTGGCCTAGAGGTTTTGTTTTAAGAAAGAAAAAACTATGCCTATTTCCATATAATTTAAATCATATAGCATATGGAATTTTTCCATGTTTTCACCTGTAACATTACTACTGGCAAACAATTCCCAGGTTAATACATCGGGTATACTATCTTGACCAATGCATGAGATTTCCCAGTGTAAGAAGCCATGGCTTACTTAATTATTACCCGTCTAATGGATATATGAATTGTTTTTAGTGATAAAACAGTGAAACTTGAACATCTTGATTGCTATGGGCTCAACTGTGTCTCCCAAAATTCATAGTTGAAGTCCTAACCCCCAGTACCTCAAAATGTGACTGTATTTGGAGAGAGAATCTTGAAAGAAGTAATTAAGTCACAATACGATCATTAGGACATGCCCTAATCCAATATGACTGGTGTCCTTATCAGAAGAGATTGGGACACAAACAGGGAAGACCATGTGCCAACACCCAGAGAAGATGGGACATCTGCGAGCCCAGGAGAGAGGCCTCAGAGAAAGCAACCCCGCCCCACCTTGACCTTGAACTTCTAGCCTCCAGAACTGTGAGAAAAGACATTTCTGTTGTTTAGGCCCTCCAATCTGCGCTATTTTATTACGGCAGTACTAGCAAACGAATGCATTGATGCTAGGACCTTTATAAAAACATCAAAGAGGAGAACATAAGAAAATACCAAAGGCATCCTCTGTCTCTCTTTGTGATCCCTTCCGGACCCCTCCCACGCATCCTGCAACCCTTCTGGATATTTCTGGCAATAAGATTTCAGGGTTCACACTCAACTCCCACATAGAGTTCAAGGAACTCACACTTAATGAACCAGACTCCGCTCTGGAACGCACTCCTTTTATGAGTATGTATGACCCACTCCTTTATCCCACAAAGTACACATCTTCAGCACAGGTGTTTGTCCTCAGCCTTCAGTGACTCACCGAGGGCAGAGCACCTGGTCTGACCAGTGTGCAGCCTACTCTCTTCATTCAGTTTGTGCCCAAGGTTGGGGGTAAAAATACAACCCAACCCATGTGGCAGTGGGTGGGTATAACTGTTAGCAGAGGGCTCTGTCCTCAGAGCAATTTCAGTGTGTGCCTGTGTCTGAGGACGGAGCACTGTTGATGTGCACTCAAAGGCTCACAAATGAGCTCGGGGGGCCGGCGCTAATCCCTTTGAGAAAAGGAATCGTGGGCTATTCATGCCTCACTCCTCCCAGACAACAGTCTCCAATGGAGGGGAAGACACTGAGCAAAGCAATAAACCGAGGTTTAAAATGGTGCCTGCAGACAAATCAAATGTATTTTTCTAGATGCGATCACATATAATAGGGGAAGAGCAAAGTCAAGGTAAGAATGGAAGACGGGGGTAGGCAGGCCGGTCAGAAACCTCAAAGGGACTGGCCTGGCTTAAAAATCTCTTCTCAAGTCAGGGCCCCCTTTTGTTGCTAAGCAACTGGGCCTGAACAAACAGGCTCCTGGGGCCTCCCCTTCTGCTCCCCATTTCTGAAGTCGGTTACTGGGAGGAAAATGGCCTGGCATGGTGGCTCCTCCAGCAGGGAGCTGCCCTCTCTCTCCTGGCACCAGGATGGTGGGAGTGGGGAATGCTACTTTGGAGATCCCTTAAAAAGGGTCTCCTTCACCAGACCCTCCCACCCTGTCCCCATCCCCATCCCCATCCCAGGCAGGAGAGACACCTTTTGGGGGGGCTTTACGAGTCCCCCCCACCCCATACCTGCTGGGGCCACACACACAACAGCCATTCCGCCTCCCATGCACCACACACGCAAAACCACCAGAAGATCAACTGGTGTATCTGTACACAGAGCAGTCACACTCGGGCATATGGTATCTCAGGCTCAGACCCGGGACTCCATAGGAATTCAAATGCCTGAGGGGCAGGTGGGTGGGGGGTGAGGCCTGCCGGGTATCACGCAGGTAAATGTGGCATCTGTTTCCCACCCATCTCCATATTTTCTAAGACGTTTGCCAAATCCTTATTTTGAACTGAAAACGCCTAACAGTAAGGAAAACAGCCGCCCTTCTGTGCTGGCCATGTTTTGGTACTGGGACTCAGGTTCCCTTAGGAAATAAATGTTTTGGATTTTTTTTTAAATGTATTTTCAAAACCTCCTTTCAACAGTGCATAATTGGCTCCCCTTTTCCTTCCTAAGTTTGGACGTTTTCTAATACTGCCCTCTCCACATTTGCTCCACCCTGGGGAGCGTGGGGGAGGATCTGTATATGTTTTTAGGGCAGCCATTGTCGTAAAGAATAGAGCTCCTTCCTCTGTAGTCCAGCTGTACAATGGGGCTCGCAAAGACCTCCTGAATAGATAAAGTGTCAGGGCGAAAGAAAAATTCTATTAACACTTTACAAAATACAACATCTAAGAAGGAGCTAGAGAGGAAAGAGAAAGGGAAAAAAAATCAATATGGATAAGTCCCAGTGCTTGGGGGTAGAAAACTTTTCAGCAATTGCAAAACACTTATTAATTCAGAGAAGCCATCAATGCGATGGAAATCTGGCAGAACAGCAAGAGCTGAAACTAGAAGAATTTGAATATACAAAGACTGAATAGAATGAAAAACACAGCCTCACATACGAGACTGTTTCTCACGGTTCTATGTGAATCAAACAGAAGCGGCTTGTGTGAGTCAAGGGAAAATAAGGGGCACAGTTAAGGTAACTGGTATTCAACCCTGGAGCCAGCACACTGATAACTCTTGGTCTCTGTCTCTGTCTCTGTCTCTCTCTCTCTCTCTCTCACACACACACACACACACACACACACACACACACACACACACACACACACAGGTAGATCAGGGAGCTATGAAGATTCATCAACACAAACAAACACACAGGCCACAGGCCAGGCCTCGTTCAAGATGCTAGGAGAACCCAAAAGCTTAGGGAAAGCTGGGAACAGGACTTTTTCTAACCCCTTATGAAACACCCGCTCTAGGGACACCACCCTCATCCTTATGATGACCACTGGTGCTTACTTCGTGTTGACAATGCACTCACCCGCCTTACAGAGCTCTTTGTACCCAAAATGGACACATGCAGGCCTAGTGGCTCCCTTGATGGAGAGGGGAGGACAGGAGGTGTCTGAACCTTGGCATGATTTGTCCCATCCGGCACACGCCTGGTCTGTTTTGGGAAAAGAAGCTTATTCTAGCCTTGAGCTGTGACTCGTAATAACTTGGGGCAGGTCTGAGACACAGCCCTGGCATCTTTAGTGGTGTATCTTTGTGAATGAAAAAGCAAAATAGGCCAGATGTGGTGGCTCATGCCTAATAATCCAGCATTTTAGGAGACTGAGGTGGGGAAACCGCTTGAGGCCAGGAGTTTGAGACCGGCCTGGGTAACACAGCAAGACTTGTCTCTCTCTAAAAAAAAAAAAATAAAAAAAATAAAAACTTAGGCAGGCATCGTGGTCCCAGCTACTCAGGAGGCTGAGATGGGAAGATTGCTTGAGCCTGGGAGGTTGAGGCTGTAGTGAACCAATGATTGCACCACTGCACTCCAGCCTGGGCTACAGAGTCAGATCCTGTCTCGAAAACAAAATAGGCAAAGGAAAGTAACATTGAGGTGAGCTGGTGGGGAATGGGATGCCTCTGTCTTTGTCCTGACACTTGAAGGTACTGAACATCCTTTGACTACAGCACAGTTCAGACTACACTGTAATATCCTCAGAAGTGTGCGACAGTCAACAAAGGGGACCTCATCTCTTAGTGTCCATGGCTGCTGGAGTTGGGGCAGAGATTCTCAAACATCATTCACATCAGAATCATCATCAGAGGGACTGTTAAGCCACAGATCTCTTGGGGCCCCACAGCCAGAGTGACTGATTCAGTATTCAGTTGTATTTGCATTTCTAACAAGCTCCCAGGTGACGCTGATGCAGCTGCTGGCCCAGAGGCCTCCGTTTTCATGAGCTACTCTAAGGGATAAGAAGCAAGAGCAAAGGTTACAACCACTGGGCAGAGGGTGCTTCTTCCTCTTTAACATACACTCAGTGGTCAGTACATGAAACAAAAATTTCTCATCTAGGAGCAACTGATCCACTTTGGTGTGGCAAGTTCTCCCTCTCTTTGTTCCCCTTCTCTCAGATGTTGATATTCTAAAATCCCAAAAATGATGGTGGTAGAGCCCACGATGGAAAAGATGATGAGAAGAGGGACTTCTTAGTGGCCACCAACCTACTCCGCACCCAATGCAAGAAAAATCCAGATTCTACTAGGATGACATAAGCTTTCCTTCTAACAGACACTCTCATTGACAGAAACTCATGTCTAGAACATGCAGCCAATCCAATCTTGAATAGAAAACTTAGCAAATGGTAACTCTATTTACTTTTATGCAGCACACATGTATGAAGCATTCACTATTTGCAAAACATCAGCCTAAGTACAAATAAAAGACGACTCACACAGGTCTAGGGTAGACTGATGACATGAATGGTCTTGCACCCTGTCCTCTGTAAGTTTGCAGTCCTTCTCCCCCAAAGAGGCAGAGTCTACTTCCATCCCTTCAATCTGGGCTTGATTTGTGAGGTCTAATAAAATGCAGAGGAGGGGGGGAAAGTACACCTGTTTTTGGCTTAGCCCTAAGAGGATTTGCATGTTCCTGTTTGTTCTCTCTTGCACCTCTGCCATCACCATGACAAGGGCATGCCCAGACTAGCCTGATACAGGATGGGTGGCACATGGAGCAGGGCCAATTCCCCTGCGCTGAGGCCAGCCTAGATGGGTGGACAGCCAGTCACCCTCAAAGCATGCAAGTGAGACCAGCCAAGATCAGCAGAACCACCCCAAGTGTACTCCAAATCCGTGAGTTCAACAGTTAATGTCTGCCCCTGAAGTTTTGTGGTTAGTTACACAGCATTCTTGTGGTCACAGCTAACTCATACATGATCCTCATTCTAAAAAAAATCCCCCAAAACAACAAAAAAAGCTTACAATCAGAAGATAGTCTAAAATAATACTAGAAAATAAGCAAAGGAAAGAAAAGGCGCAGAAGGGAAATATGAAATGTGGCAGAGTATTAAACTATCAGGTTCCACATTCCAAATGGAGCACACTCTTCATGGAACATTCCACATGGAACACAGGCCTTAAGGTGTGGAGGGACCTCTTCTAAATCTCACCCCATCAGCAAGGTTGGAGACAGAGATCCTAGAAGTGCCAAGAGAAATTGGCAACATGTCCCTCACTAAATGAGCACCAGGAAAACCAGCAATAATCACCACTCAAGTCAGTGGGTGATGCTTCTCTGATCCTAATTCATTTAATGAATGAGTGAACCCTCTTTCTAACAAGTCAAAAGATTTATTGTGAGCCAGGCATTCTTGCTGGGTGATTTCAGAAGGAGCCAGATGGTGCTGACCACATCCAGAGGTTAGACTTGAGCCAGCCCAGCTCACATGTTGGCTGAATAGGAAAGCTTTAAAGACACAATGCAGGCCGGGCATGGTGGCTCACGCCTGTAATCCCAACACGCTGGGAGGCCGAGGTGGGTGGGTCACTTGAGGTCAGGAGTTTAAGACCAGCCTGGCCAACATGGTGAAACCCCATCTCGACTAAAAATATAAAAAATTAGCAGGGCATGGTGGCATACGCCTGTAATTCCAGCTACTTGGGAAGCTGAGGCAGGATAATTGCTTGAACTCAGGAGGTGGAGGTTGCAGTGAGCTGAGATCACGCCATTATACTCCAGGCTGGGTGACAGAGTGAGATTCCATCTCAAAAAAAAAAAAGACACAATGCAAAGTTGCATGGAGAGAGGGAGGTCAGAAATGCCCAAAAATGCTACTGTCCAGTTAGCTGGCTAAAGGGTAGGACCCTGCAGAATGTTCCATGGTCCACTGCCTCTTCTGCCTAAGGTTTTACAGTTCTGGCTCCCCAAGTACATAGTAGGTGAGTGAAGCTAAACTGATCTGAAGACACAGATCCAGGAAACAGTTAAAAGGAAAAGAGTGGCTGGTATGTAACTCAGCAGGTGCTGGGAGGCAGCTGGGTGAGGTGGGGAGTGCTGCACCAAGCATGGAGGGAGTCCGGGTTCTAATCCCAGCCCCACCAGGATCTCACTGAGGACC